TCAGCCTCACGCGCCGGCCACCCTTTACCCCTAGGAAGATTCCTGATAATCATTTCTATTAGAGGTTGAGTCGAACCCAGGCACATTGTGCGGCTGCATTAAGTCAATTGAAAATATCCACCTCATCGGGACTCGAATCCGCGACCTTCCGGCTTGCAGCATAGTGCCCCAATGGACCTTTCAAACCCATCATAAAAGAAATGTAGACTAGTTGGATGGCTGATGGCAAACATGAGTACATGCCCACAGGAGAAAATAGGTGGCCAGACCCTGGCTTGCTGTACACACGGATAAAGGGCGTGTGGCAACGTATTTCACTCTGATTGGAAGAAAAGTCTCAAAAAGTGCGGCATGTCAAACAGCCTTGATTGCTAGATGAGCAAGAAGACGATTTCATTTGGAACAGCGATGATGACCAGGTGAGCTCTGCTGATGTTGGCAACGATGGAGAATAAAATGCTGAGGATACATAATTTTTGTTTCCAATTAGCAAGTTTTTATGTGGCGATGTCGCAACGGAATAAACAAGAAGTACCAGAACGAATGCTAACACTGCGTCATTTTCATGTTGCAGGACATCAGGTCTCGGGAACTGCAAATGTAACGGCGCAGGAAATAACACAGAAGCGTTATTTTACATGACATTACGTTTATCATTTAACATATTTATTAATGAAGATGTTAGTTAATGTTTGATAATTAGAAACTGGGGTGCGTAGTTTATTCAAGGGCGAGGGATATTCGAGAAATTACGGCATGTTTTTTTTGTACAGCAAGCTAGCGATAGCCATATTTATTTATTTATTGGACATCCCTCAACACAGGAACATATCCTACGAACAGACATGTAGTTTCGGTGAAGAATATTAGTGATATTACTTTGTACCCCTCTTCAGTAATTTTCAAGAATTTGTTACTCATAGTTCTCGATCTTCACTGCAGAAAACAGAACACCCCATTTACAATGTCCCACGACAATCGTACATTTACCTGGCTACGCTAGGGAGATTCTCGCGTAGGAAGAGCAGTGGAATTTGACGTTGCTGATGAGCAGTATGAAGCAACTCGACAGATGGTGGCCAGCTTTCGCCCAAAAGGTCGTGGAAAGAGAGGCTACTACCAAGCAACGGCCGGTGAAAGCAGAAAAAAAAAAACTGAGAAGATTTAGTATGTGCTATGGTGATTTGTAGTGCGTGTATTTTAATTAAATCGTTATGGTTGTTTGTAGTTATGAGTCATAAGTGTTCAGTAAATTCAATAATCATTCCACACCCTTTGTCTGATCAATAATATGACAGTATGGGGGCGCCATTCAAGAAAATACAGAGGCTCATCAGGAAAAGATAGAGGCCAAGATGGTCACTGTCACGAGGGCCGGCCAAGAAGAGATGACATCCAGGCAGAAAAAGATTGAGGTATTTCAAGAAGATACAGACCAAGAGAAGATGGAGGCCACGATAAAATGTGACGATAAGATGAAGGCCACAATGAGGCCAGCCAAGAAAATGGAGACCGCGATAAACTCCATTCGTTACAGAACGGAAGAGACAGAAAAATCGGGGAGGACGTCCTGTAGTCCATCGACTAACGGACACAGGGCCTCCGTGAGGAACTCAACACGAAAATTTAAGAAATGCAGCTGGGCTTACATGCAGTGACGACGTCCCTTCATAGGTGGAACAAGAGCCTCCACATGAGTAAAGGTATCCCTGTAACAGGCCGTGGAGGCCCACAGGGTCGTGAGATGTTGAGGTTCCCACATTTTCTAGACAATCGGTTCAAAGATGGTGGCAAGGTTGTCAGCTCTACGCGCCGGCCGTTCTTTACCCCCAAGAACATTCCAGGTACTCATTTCTGTTAGAGGCTGAGTCGACCCCAGGGCCATATTGCGGCTGGAAGGGTTAGGTCAATTGAAAAAGATCCAATGATTTCATCGGGACTTGAACCCGCGACCTTCCGGCTTGTAGCATAGCGCCTCAACCAACTACGCAACCGCGTGAAAACAGTATATCAAAATGGAAAAGGTAATTCATTTACTGTGGCGTTTTCAGACGCTTGAGAGAAAATGTGCGACGAAAAATACCGGAACTTTGGTGCAAACACAACCGACTCCTTTATCACGAGAACGCTCCCCCCCCCCATGTCCCTGAAAACAACAGAGTTCGTGACTAACAACATCGTTATCGTTCCCCATCCTCCCTACTTGCCATACTTAGCCCCCTTTGATTTGCTTTGTTTCCCATAATGAAAATGAAACTGAAGGGAATACCTTTTGAAATAGTGACATCCAAAGGGAATTGCAAGAGGTGCTTGACAGCATTAAGGAAAATGACTTCCACAGTGCTTTTGAGGCGTGGGGGGGGGGTGGGTGNGGATCGCTGTGTATGTTCCAAATGAGGCTATCCTGAAGATGACAGCCAAAATTTAGCGAGCATTTCTTTTTTGACCTAGTCTGGGAACTTTCCCATACACCTCATACCGAAAGCCATGAGCAACTTTTTTTTTGCTTGCAACCTGGGAACAGGAGACGAAAGAGAGTATGGTGGTAGGTGGAACCAGCTGTTGTGTTAACCTTGAGTGTCTTGTGACAATAGCTTGCATCAAGTGACCAGTATCACTCGTAACAAAGGGCCGGACAAACATATGTTGTTTCGCCAGCGTGCTGTCACCGAATTTCTTGTGAAAGAGGAAATTCCTGCTGCAGAAATTCACCAGAGACTTCAGCGTGCTTATGGAAGTGTGTGCATGGGTGCGAGCAGTGTTCGAAGATGGGTGAAACATTTTAAAAATGGGAATACCAGCATCGAAGATGAGCCTCGGAGCGGTCATCCTTGAACAGCCTCCATTGAACGCAACAAGGAAAGAGTGGATGAGATAATTCAAGATGACAGGCGTGTGGCTGTGGACACAGTGGCCCGAAAACTTGGAATAGGGCACAGTGCAGTACAGGAGATGATTGAAAGTTTGGGCTATAAGAAAGTTTGTGCTCGTTGGGTCTGGCGGTTATTGACCGAAGACCACAAAGGCGATGATTTTGTACTCTGTAATGTGACAGGTGATGAAAGCTGGTTTCACCATTTCGAGCCTGAAACGAAACGGCAGAGTACTGAATGGCACCATTTGCATTCTCCATCAAAAAAGAAGGCAAAGGCAGTGCCATCAGCTGCGAAGGTGATGGGCAAAGTCTTCTGGGATGCAGAGGGGTTTATTCTGGCCGAATTCCTGGAACCTGGGCAAACCATCAATGCTGCTTGTTATGTCCAGACGCTGCACAAGCTCTGTCGTGCATTGTGTGATAAACGTCCGGGACAAAACATCATCATCCTGCATGACAACGCTCGCCTCACATTGGAAGCAATTGCAAAGATGGGGTGGGAAGTTCTTCCACACCCCTCCTATAGCCCTGATCTGGCACCCTCCAACTACCATCTTTTCGGATTTGTGAAGGATCAGCTGCATGGACAATGTTTTGAGACAAGGGAGGCAATTCAGAAAGCAGTGCATCACTGTCTTCGGATGGCTGGAATGGAATTTTACAGAAGGGGAATTTTCAAACTCCCAGAACGCTAGGAGAAATGTGTACAAAGAAGTGGTGATTCTGTGGAAAAATAAAGAAAGGTCTGTAGATTGAGGTGGTGCATTTGGTTTGTCAATAATAAAGCATGTTACTTTACAAAAAAACTGTTGCTCATGGTTTTCAGTACAACCCTCGTACATCTGGTTACGGTGGTGTTTTGAACTTCACAGTTATAAGAGTTAAAGCAGTGTGTGTGCCTAAAGACGAAGGAAAACCTGTTATAAAATATGATTCAAGCCACCTTCAGATTATCTACCAAGATATTACATACTTGCAAAACTGAATATACAGTTTAGTTTAATAGTGTTCACTGTGTTTATATACAACAGTGAGTGTTGCTTGCATCTTATAACAAAGGGAAAGGGGGAAGTGCTTTGACCAAACCCCGATATCATATCATCCTGTGTCATCACACGCACACACTTTGTGCATCTGTGAACCACCACTCCTCTGTTACAAGCTACACAACCGTCTTACAAAGTCCTATCCAACTCTAAACCCAAGACCTCATGCAATGATACCCCTGAGTGAACACCTACAGTGAACCCAAGCAACTAAAGTGTATTTATCCTCAGTGGACCCAGTCCACTGGCACCCATCTAAAACTAGAAGGGCATACACACATGTAAGCAAGAACTGTGGACATTGTAAAATTTGCAAGCAACATGGTGCAATATACAGAGAAACACCAGACCAGTTGTACACAGTAAACAATCCTTGGGTAATGCTTACTGTTAAGGATTTTTGACTACCCAAGATAGATACTGCAGGAATATAAACACACCATAACAGCCCATAACAATAATATTAAAAATATATTACTACAACACAACTTTGGGCATAATAACATTCACCTTGAGATGCTCAACAATGTGGCTTCCCACAATTACTCACACAACACTGAAAACTCTGAACATTACACAAGAAATTTTAGCATCATGTTCCATAGTCTTGGTAACTGTTCTAATAATTTTAATATTTTTAAGTTTCAATTGTATAACTTTCAATTTTATTTCCAATGCTTTATCTCATAATATAATATCATTCCAACATATTAATCATCTTCAATAAATATTACATGCTAATACAATTTTAATACAAATTCTTTGTACACTCTTAATATTTTGAGAAGGTTAATATTGTAATTCTTACATTCTAACTTAGGAATAGCTTTATAAAGTGGACATGTTGCACTAAATATGGATCCATATTTAGGAGTTCAATAACTTTAGCTGTACGATTACAATACTGCCTGATGATGGTCCCACGAGAACCGTAACATGTAGTGGTACAAAATAAAATTCAATCTGCCCCCTGTTTGGGGGTGATGTAACGTGGACAAAAGATGCTTTTAGAAATATAAACGAAAGAAAAAACTGAAAAGCATGAGAAGTCAAAGAAGGACATTGATAATGTAGTTTCACTGTCACTTTTAGGAACCGTAAGTATTAAGGAGAAACTCAGTGAGGCATACAGACTTTCAATCAATGAGCATAATATTAAGGTTAAAAGAACCGTGAAATTTTGTCCAAAATTATAGACTGCATTTTCTTTTGTGGAAACTTTGAAACTCTCTTACGTGGACATGATGAAAAAGACAATTCAATAAATCCAGGGGTATTTAGATGATTAGTAAATTTTGCATCTAAATTAGATTCAGATTTGAAGCATCAAATCTGAAGATTTGCAAAAGTCATGAAAGGCAAAAAAGCAGGAGTTCAAGCAAAAATAAAAGCAGTTTATAGTAAGGCACATTTCATTCACTGTTATGCACATCAACTTAATTTAATAATGAGAAATGCAGCAAGTATTACATGAAATGCAAGAATATTTTTCTCTAACATTCTGGCTATTCCAACATTCTTCTTAAGATCACCACAACGTGTGTCCATTCTCAAGAAGCATATGGAAGTCAGCAATCCACGTCCATCTTGTATAAGGTGGAACTTCAACATACGGACCATAAACAGAGTTCATGAAAATTTGTAACCTTTAATAAACTGCCTTACTGAAATTCAGTATACATCAAATGCAGATCAAACCATTGCAGAAGCAACAGGAATTTTAAAATACCTGAATGATGATAATTTCAAGTTTTGGTTAGAGCTTTATCATCAGATTATGCCTCATGTTGAAATAATTTACAACCAAATGCAATCTCGAGAAATTAGTGTGTTTAAAGTTAATGACTATATAACAAATTTCAAAACTGCTATTTTAGAATTGAGAAACTCAAAAGTACTGTGAGAATCCTTCAAAGGCACTCATGGCAGAAGCTAAGGAAGTGTGTGACTGTATATGTGTTGATATAATGGACAAATATTCTTCCACTGAACACTTAGTAGCTGCTAAATTGTTCAAAAATAAATACTTCACTAGTTTTAAGAATGAATATCCCACAGAAGAGATAGTACTGACCACTGAAGCATATCCCATGATTGACAAAGAAAAGCTTGAAACTGAACTAAAAGTATTCTATTGTAGGTCTGATATTCATGAATATTGCACATTAATTGAGCTGCTGAAATTTATCTTGGAAAATAATCTAGATGATGTTTTTAGTGAAATTACGAAACTGATAAAAATCCTCTTGACAGTTCCCATGACTACATCAGAGGCAGAGCGCTGCTTTTCAACACTGAAAAGAATAAAAACTTTTCTAAGAAGCACTATGAATTCGGAAAGACTAAATGCGCTTGCAGTGCTTTCATTTGTGAAAAATTTCCTCAGCT